TTGTACAAGTTATATGTAATGCATTAACTAAAAACACAAATAAAGGCAGTAAGCTCTGTAACATCAGCCTTAATAACTAAAAAAAAAAAAAAAAAAAAAAAAAAAAAAAAGATAATTAAAGAACTTGCAATTATCTAAAATATTCATAATATTTTGAGAAAAGAGTAAAACTTTCTTATTATAAATTTGGATATTAGCATCATGAGTTACTAAAAGGCTCTATTAAAATAAATAATAAGAATTATAAGCATATAATTTTTCAAGCATTAATTTATTTTAAATATTAATTTAATTAAACTATTAACTTGAACAAATACAAATATAAATAAAATAAATAAATATCTGTAAAGCATATTCTGCCTTTAAAATAGCTCTAATACAACTAAAATATAAATATCAATAGGTTTTACAAGGACTGGTTAATACCAAAAAAGAAATACCATGATCTTTACATGTATTTTTGAGAAGCATTATAAAAAAAGGTGATTTATTAAAAAAAGAAGTGATGGCTACAGCTTGTTTGACTACAAAAAAAATAGTTGGAGATAATTTAAAAAATTAGCAATACAAGGTTAGTCTGGTAGACAAAACAAGATAACCAAATTTTCATCAGCATTTCTCTTCTTAATCTACTACATGCAGTAGCATACCTACTTGATGAATCTATAACTATTGCAGTTATATTAATTTTTTTTAGTCTATCCTCTAATAATAAATTTTTTATTAACTTTATTGTGGTTTTCATAGAGCTACATTTATTAGAAATATTTTATGCATTATATATTATCATATCTTCATTTTCTATTACACAAGTAATTCCAAGAATATTTTTTTTTACAATATTCTTCTAGCCGTCAAATGTTAATATAATAGATTTAGTATCTTTCAAAATTTTTAATGTTTTTTCTTGAAGTTTATTTGCAGCATTATTAAGAAGTTTGCCACCTAACATTCAATGGGTTAGTATAGCACTAGGCTTGAGTTGAGGTGCAGGGTTAAGATAATACAAAAGATCTAATGCTTCATTACACTTTATTTATCTAAATGACTATCTATTAGCAATAGTTATTAAAAGAAGTTTTTCTTAAAACTCTTTAATCCAATTATCTATTAGAGGCTTTAAAAGATATTTAGAAATTCTAACATCAAGTCATTTTTCAGCAGAATTCTCAATTTTAGAATATTTGCTTATATGTGTATTTTTTGAAATACTATTATCAACATGATCTGAGTCAATATCTTCGCTTATAGGTACTAATATTAATTTCTGTTTTAACTCACTAGAAACATTTAAACAGGATAAAATATGCTAAGTATAATATTGTGATTTTTCTAAAACAAATTTTTTTTCACAACTTAAACTTGCAAAAGAACCCTCATTCTCTTTTAAACAAAAGTACAGACCATTTCCTTATCTGATAAATTCCAATATTTTGGTTTTTTATCTAACCCAGGAACTTCAATAAAAAATTTTAAAATTGTATTTTTTGGATATCCTCGTTTGCAATTAGACATTTTTCTCTCAAAATACAAAATATATAAGTATTTATTATAAATGATCAATATTAAAGAGAATCTAAAAATTGTCAAACCAATTTATATTAATTAAATATATATATAAAGTTATATAAATTAATTTATATTATAAAATTTAAAATAGCCTGATAATTTGGTTTTTATTTTATTACAGTGCAGGGTCTTTAAATTAATATATAAAATATATAATTTATAAATAAAAAATTAAAGTAGTTATCAATCAAATCTCTTTATAAAATAATAAAATAAAATCTAAAGAACAAAGTTACAAAGTTTATTTTTTTAGTTAATTAATATTTCATAGAGTTATATCCTTTTGAAATTATTAATAAAATAAAAATTTGGCTATGTATATATAAAAACATAATAAAATTTTCAAAAATATAATAAAAATTTAAAAAATATAATAAAATTTTAAACTATTAACCAATCAGAATTTAGTATTTTGTCTCAAATTTGGCCACTTTTAAAAAGTTGTTAGTTTAAAGATGCCTGCACTATAAAAATATATATATATTTTTATAAAAACACTTCTAACAATATTTTACAAAAATTTTTATAATTTTGTCCTGCTCATTAAAACCAAGAAATTCTTACATTTAGAACTAGTAAACTTCTAATCTTAATCAGAATTAGATAAGTAATATAATTACTTAGAACAGCTTTGGACAAGATGGTAATGTAACCGTTTGGGTTGGCTTTAGACAAGACAATAACATACGTAATATTTGAAACAGTTTTGAACAAGATAGGATATAGTTATTTGACTTTAGATGAGATGATAGTGTAGTTGCTTGAGTTGGCTTTAGTTTTGGTGATAGCATTATAGTAATGTAGTTCTTTGAACAAAGCAATAATATTATAATTGATTGTTTCTTTTGCTCAAACTGGTACCTATTTAAAATTGAAAATATTTCGTATAAGTACAAAAAAAATTTTTTGATTTTCTAACGCTATTTATATGAAAAAAAATTTTTATTAGATTATACATTATGATCTTATTAGTTAAAAATCATATGACCTACTTGTCATAATTTTTGGATATGATCTGTATAGTAAGATAATTTTAGAACTGTTCTGAAAATAGGGTTGTTTAAAAGTTCTAAAGTTTGAAAATACCCTTGTACCAACATTAGTGAATAGGACTTTCAAAATAAGATATTGGGCGGTTGTCTGGATTAAGCAACTGAGTACAAATCATATCACAATACAAAGAATTATGTGACTCGAACTGAAAAAACTATTAAACAATGCTTCAAGACTTTGAAACTTCTGTTCAGATTTTGGGCTAACTCTATCTAGATAGACTACAATTTCTAGTTTTAGCTAGCTTTTTTAACCTTTTTACACCTATATATAGTTTATTAGAATAGAGAATATTATAGAGCTTTTTTATCTAGTAATATGTAATTTTTTAAAGCTTGATATAGGCTGATAATTGTGATTATCAGATTTCTTTTTTTCTTTTTTCCTATCTTTCATCTTTGTATTTGTCTTTTAGTATTAGTTTCTAGTTCTTTTTTCTTTTTCCTTTTAGAATTAGTATTAGTATTAGAGAATTTTTTTTATTTTTTTCACTTCTCTATGAGAAGATGTTATCAGATTAGCAGTATTCTATTGTAGAGTGGTGGTCTAACAAGGTTTTTTAGGTTATAATAACTTTATATTATAGATATCCTTTAGAAAAAAATTGTTTTAGTACAGCTCATCACTTAAAAATGCTCTAATATAATTAATATCTTGAAGTAATTGCAGAATATCAAACCTAAATATTAAGCTCAATTTTGTGTTATACCATAATGCAATAATTTTAATAAAAGATCCCTGACAAGACAGCCTAAGTAAAAAAAAAAAAGTAGTAATATAATACAGAAAACTTATCAAGAGACAAAACTGGGTAAATTTTTTTTTTTTTTGCTTCACTTAGGCTGATTGCGCCAGTACCTTTATTTAATCAAGCGTCACTTGTAGAAGTGCATAATTATTAAAACTACAGGTCTGATATCTTGCGGTTATCTTGACTAACCTAACCGATTATCTAGTTCTATAGGCGACCTGCCGTACCAGAGAGATACGATCAATTAAGATAATACCCTACTAGGAGCTTATCCGATCACTGTTCTACAATAGGATGTTACCAATCTGATAATATCTTCTCGTAGAGAAGTGAAAGAAAAAAAAAAAAAACAAATTAATAAAAAACAGAGGGATCGGGCAAAAGGTAAAAAAAACAAAGAGAAGAAAAAA